CGGGTCCGCACGTACACTACTTTATGAGAATGATCAAGGCGCATGCTTGGTGTGTCATCAATACAAATGGGGCATGCTTTTTTTTCCTTTGTTCTTGTACCCAGACAAGTTGCCATACGCAGGAAAATCATTAACGATCCACATAAGAGCTGCATGCAATGTGAACATCTCATTCTTATGAGCATAAAAAACGGAAACCCCTTCGTCCCACATATTTCTCAAATCGTCAACAAGTGGCACAAGATAAACATCTATGTCGTTTTCAGGTTGCCTTGGCCCCAATATTAGTAGTGAAAGCATTATATACTTACGTTTCATGCACAACCAATGAGGCAAATTGTAGATCACTAAAAGTACCAGCCATGTGCTGTGTTGGGTACTAAGAGTGCCAAATGGATTCATCCCGTCCGTGCACAACCCTAGCCTTAAATTTCTGACTTCATCACCAAATTTCCCAAACTTCATATAAATGTTCTTTCATTGCGTGGAGTCGGCTAGATGCTTCAGCATTCTGTTTTTTTTTCTTCCCTTTGCATGCCACCTCAAGTTTTTAGAGTCTTTTGGTGTTGAGAATAGACGCTTAAACCTTGGAATAATGGGAAGATACCACAACACCTTAGCAGGAGGTCCCTTCGTACCAGCATTGCAACTCATGCGCTTGTAGTGCGACTTCTTGCATCGTGGACACTCCTCCAATTGTTCATATTCATTTTGATAAAGAATACAATCATTAGAACATGCATGTATCTTCTTATACTCCAAACCAAATGGACACATGAGCTTCTTTGAATAATAGTAAGACTTAGGAATTTCATTCCCATCAGGCAACATCTCACTTAACGCGGTCAACAAAGAAGTAAAACTATTGTCCGTCCACCCATGATTCGACTTAATGTTAAAAAGTGTTAGCACGGATGATAGTTTGGAGTATTTTTTGCACCCAGGATACAAAGGCTTTTTAAAAGCCTCCGATAATAACTCAAACACGACACCTTCAACACCACGCATCATCTCATCCACCTGATCATCCTCAAATCCATCATCATCACCATTATCAATAATATATTCATCATTCCTGTATTCCTCGTCTACACGAATCTCATTGCTTCTATCATGCACATCATTCCTATCAACATCCCCATTGTACTCTCCTTCTTCACCGTGCCAAATCCACACATGGTATTTAAGCCAAAACCCACGACAAATTACATGATCTCTAATGATTTCAACACTATTGACCACCTTCACATTATTACAATCAACACAAGGACAATAGAGGCAATCAACACCCATTATGTGCTGATAAGATGAAGCCCTCTCGTAAAATTCTTTTTACCTCATGAAAGAATTCCAATGTATCACGTCTACCATACATCCAACCACGATCCTTCTCCATTTAGTAAATTGTCTTTAAACATAGCAACATATTATGAATAATGTATAATTGCTACATATATTATATATGTAAATCAAATTCAACCATATACCATGCATATACCATTCATATAGTAAAAAAATGCATATATGCTTCCAAAGGGTCCTTATCACTCCAACCTAACCAATCCTTGACGTTTAATCTCACTAGTGAATGTATGTCGACTTTCCAATTTTAAGGAAAATCCGGCAGCATTTCTCCTCAGTTCTCCAAGTACACGATGTAGATAATTACTTACTCACATATGTAACCAGAGAACAGGGTGAGGAGATGGTAAGCCAAGATGTTCCTTAAAATCGAAAAAAAAAGACATACATTCACCACCTAAGTGAGAGTAAACGTTCAAGAACAGTCCCAACTGGGGACTATTCAAGACTTTCTCCTAATGAGAAATCCTTGAACGGGTATCTAGGCATATGATGATGCAAACATTTTATATATTGTTGTATTTATTTATCATTAAACAATGCACAAGTTGTAATAGCATGAAAAAACTTTTATTAAATGGATAAAGAGAAAGAAATATAGCTTAGTAAAGTATATAAATCATACCAATATAGCAAGTACAATGGATGTATTCTTTCTAACTTCCCACTTGAGCTAATTATGTAGTTTTCAAGCTAAACTTGTGCTTCAATTCACATATGAATCTATAAAAAAACAAAAACAAAAACAAAAACAAAAAACAAAAGTTAGTAAATATAAACTATCATTTGTCAATTGGAAACTATGAACTATCAAAGTATCAATCTATCATGTCTATCAATTAATTAATAATCAACAACTCCACAAGTATTCAAATCCAACTATTCAACTAAATAACTAATTGTTGCAATACTTTAATTCAATCAAATAATCAATTATTCAACAAGACAACGATTATATATCATTTTAATTCAAATTCCCAATCAAATTAGCAATTATCATTTAGCAATAACTCAATACGACAATAAGACAATAAGGCAGTACCGCCGTGACAAGCTTACAAGAACTCAATATGACAATAAGGAAATAAGGCAGTACCGCCGTGACAAGCTTACAACAAGGCAATAACTCAATCCACAGCAAGCCAACAATAGGCATTAAAGGAAACCGAAAAGGCAAGCTCACCAGACACTAGGTCGACTGTTTGAGGCCGTGCCGCCGTGACAAGAAGTCCGTTGTGGTTGAGGGGGAGCCATGCGCGCAGGTGAGAAAGCTTAAAAGAAAAATTACTAAACTGAAAATCAAATCAACGACAAACCCTAAATTGCGAAATTAGAATTCGATATTTAAAAAAGGCAAGAAAAAAATCTTACCTCGAAGCTGCTTCAATGGAGGTGAGAAAGCTCAGAATCAATGGAGAATTAAGAGCACTGCTTCAATGGAGGAGAGATATGGAGAGAGAAGGAGGTGCAGCGAGAGAAAGCTCAGAAACCGCTTCAATGGAGAATTAAGAAACTCGGAGGTAGTGGATTCAAGAGAAGGGCGAAAACTTGGGAGGGAAAACAGAAATAATGAAAAGCAGGGGGAAAGAAAGAAAGAAGAAAAAGGGAGCCCGATTTTTTTTTTTTTTTTTTTAAATTCGCACCGGTTTGAACCGGTGCTAATAACTTTATTTCGCATCGGTTTGGTTTGAACCGGTGCGAAAACTCTTTCCCTCTTTTTTTTTTATTTATTTTTATTTTATTTTCTAATTCGCACCGGTTTGAACCGGTGCCAATAATATAATTTCACACCGGTTTGGTTGGAATCGATGCGAAAACTCTTTCCCTCAATTCCGCCCAAGGTTGTTAGAATCAAGATCCTACCTTGGATCGATAGGGGGGGTGGGATCAAATCGATAGAATCGGATCGTAGGATCGCAAGATCCTACTTAATAACAAATAATATTATATATTATGTTATAAATTGACTTAAAAACATTTTTTCTAAGGGGTTACAATGCTAAAAGACATTGGTTTGCTTAAGAAAGGTCGATCTTCATTTAGCTTTGTCTGTATGGTAGTTAGAAGATTAATAACACAAGTTTAAATTACTAAATTATGTGCAAATTTGTCAAGAATGAGACCTTAACTATGACAATTGCAAGTTGTCAATTGATAAAATCATATCAATGTCTCGGATTCGCTTATTTATTAGCGATAATTATTGAATACATTAAATTTAGGTGCATATAACCTAATGAGTAATAAAAAATATGTCAAAATAAATCAAAGTCTCATATTATAGTAAAATGTTGGATTGGATCGTAAGATCGTAATAAAATTGTAGGATCGTGTTGAGATCCTACCACTCATAATTAATATCGGAGTAGGATCGTAAGAGCCTACAAACTTTAAGATCCTACCAAAGATCCGGATCGATCACACAATTTTGGATCGTAGAATCGTAGGATCGTAAGATCTGGATCGGGATTTTAACAACTAGGATCCGCCTATTTTTATTGGCACCGGTTTTTAAAAACCGGTGCCAAAATGGCGGTGCTCATTTCTGTTTTTCTACTAGTGTAAAAAACACCTATTAAACAACTCCTTATTCTTATATTTCGTATCTTATAATAAAATCATTAAAATAAAAAAAATTACTCAACAACACTTTTATCTCATAAAAAAAATAAAGTCCAATATTCAACTCTTTCCAAGCCCTCTTAGAAAATTACAATACAATGCAACCCTTCTCACCTACACTTCAATCCCTACATGAACATTAATTGCGATACTATTTATCTAACAGTGGCGAAGCCAGGATTTCCAACTCATTCAACTTTACAACCTATAAATCCAAAATACTCGGTCATACAATTCAACCCAAAAATTTGGAAGAAAAAAGGTTTTAGGTGTTACGTAAAAGAGATGAATTTACATAGTTCGTTGAGAAAGGGGAAAATAAAGTTCTACAAATGAATAGCATGATAGTTGAGGAAGGGGGAAAAAATTGTTCCACAAATGAATAATTGTTAGTTGAGGAAGGGGAAATATAATTGTTATACAAATGAACAGCATCATGATAGTTGAGGAAGGGGACAGAATTGTTCTACAAATGGATATTCCGTAGTATGGTAACAAAACATAAAAGTAAAAATGCTTATGGGAATTAACCAATGACCTTGGAGGATACTTATAAGCCCTTTAACCATCGAACCACTTCCTTTTCTTAGTTATAATTGTAAACATAATTAGTTATAATAGTTTTTTTTTCTTCTTTTCTTGGTTATAATTGTAAAAGATAATATTGATCAAATCATTATTAGTTATTGTTTATAGATTGTAATCCCTTAATATACTCACAACTTTGATAATCAAAATATATTCCTTATTATTAATTAACTAATGTACCTAGTCATAGGTTATTGATGTTCAATGCTCTAATCTCATACTCTATATACTCTTATATACTCTTCAATATAATTAATTTTTCTCATTCTCTCTAAGCTTTTTCTTATACTCTTTCTCATAACTCTATCAATTTTGTTCTCTAACAAGCTTTAACTATGTTTTCGTAATTTAAAGTTTTTTAGGATTTTCTAACTTTACAATATTTAAGTTGCACCATTATTATTCTTATGATCACTTGCTATTTTCAGAAAGGAGAAGCAAGGGAAATCTTATTTGATTAAAGGGCATTATGGATAGTGCTTTTCTAGATGCCTTTGCATCAAATGTTCTCAAGACCCTTTGGAATCCAGTATTCAAGGTCATTGGTGATGAGTTATATAAGATAAAAGATATGGATGTAGCACTGAGAAAGCTGGAAATGAGAAGAAAGGAAGCCCTAAACCTGCTATATAAGGTAAAACCTAGCAGCAGACGTGAAGCAGATAAATTGTTAAGCTATTTATGCAAAGCTGAAGATCTCATTGAAGTGATTGAGTATGAGATTCAAAAATTGAAACCACCCACATATACCAGTGTCTCCGGGCGTTGTATTCTAGTCTCACTAAAAAACTTGACTAAGCCTCATCAAATAGATGAGCTGCAAAAGAAGATGGCTAAAATAATAGATGATTTGAAAGAACAAGAGGACTTGAGTCAACAGATTCAACCTCTGATTAAACCAAGTCCTCCCAACAAAAAGGTGAATTTAATCGGGAGGGATGCAGATGTTCAGATCTTACTTGAAGAGCTAACTTGTTCAGAGAAATATGGTTCGAATGGAGTCTCTATAATTGGCATGAGAGGTGTTGGAAAGAGTGCACTTGCTGATCACATCCTTAATCACAAGAAAGTGCAAGCTAAATTTCCTCTTATATTACAAGCTTCAATGTTTGGCACAAGATTTTGTATGGAAGACTTGTTTTCCAAGTTACAGGTGGTCTATTCTGAAGGGAGGCTCAACGGAAATGGTCAAGGTCATCTCTTGGACTGTGATAAGTGGTTATTAATGCTAGATGATCTTGAAGAAGTCTCCTCAAACACTTGGTGCAATTTCCAGACAGAGTTTCTAACAGCTGCGAAAAAAATTCTCATTACTTCTCTTAGTCCTCGAGTTGGAAAAATGGCTCAAACTACCCTTCTTTACTTAAAGCCCATGTTAGAGGAACATTGTCGAGACTTAATCCGCCATGAAATAGACCGTGTACATCGTTGTCCACCACCTCAGCCTTCTATAAGCATTGACTTGGCTAAAAAATCTCGTGGCTTGCCGTTGGTTGCTACTTTCTTAGCACAATCATTGCTTGGGACTGAGGAAGAGGATCGATGGTTTATTCACGAAGACTTGTGGAAGTGGCCAGGAATTGAAAAAGAAATTCTTCCAATTCTAAAATCAAGCTCCATGAGTCTTGAATTGAAATTGAAGAGATGTTTTGTTTACTTCTCTTTGTTCCCTCATGACTACCTATTCTGTCGGGAGGATTTGATCCATATGTGGATTGGAGAACGACTGGTTGAACCTCATGCTTCAGGTTTTGAATTAAATGGGCAGAACTTTTTCAACGAGTTACTGGAACGATCGATTGTTCAACCTCAACCGGTTGATAGCTATGGCTTGACTAGGTACGAGATTCATAGATTCACTCATGACTTTGCCCAAATGCCTGCATTCTCAAAAGCATATGTCCGAAGTGGCGATGAATGCATGTCTAGCTCTTATGAGTGGGATAAATACACCCGTCATTTTTCCTTGTCTTCCAATAAGCAGATCCAACCTTCCTTATGGGACAAAATTAGGAAGCACCTTCAGGGTTTAAGGACATTGCTTCTTCTTTACAATAGGCAACAGATTGGACGAATTGGTGAAATTCCTTCTAATTTTTTTGATAAATTATCTGGTCTTAAAGTGCTATCCTTGAATAATACCGATATTTCCGACCTTCCCAATTCTGTAAAAAAGTTGAAGCACCTTCGTTATCTAGACATTTCAAACACTAATGTCAAAAAATTACCTGAAAAGCTTGCTAACCTTTCTGCCCTGCAAATTCTCAAGATTAGAACCGACCTTGAAATCCCTCAATTACCTGTAGATTTCAACAAATTGACTAATCTAGCATTCATTGATTGGCATGAGAGTCATATACTGAAAATGGCCTCTAAGCTGAGCAAAATTGGGAACCTCGTCAACCTTCGGACTCTTCCTGTATTCATCGTAGATAACAAAGAAGGGCATCGTATTACAGAGCTGAAGGATATGAATCATATTCAGGGATCAATGAAGATAACAAACCTCCATAAAATCACTGACGAGGCAGAGGCTAAGGAGGCAATGCTATCTTGTAAGTCTTCTCTCCAAAAGTTGGTGTTAATATGGAAAGGTAATGTTTCAGTTGCAGAGGAGGTTCTCAGAGGCCTAAAACCTCATGATCAGCTGAAAGAGTTAAGAATTGTAGATTACAGTGGTGCTACATTTCCACAATGGCTTTCACACGACGTAACTAAGCTTCAGAAACTTGAGTTAGTTGGATGTCAGTCTTGTTGTAACTTGCCTAAAATCGGACAGCTCCCAGATCTTAAACTCCTTCATCTTAAGAAAATGAGCAACATTAGAAGTTTGGACCAAAATTTTTGTGGGGTACCTAGTAGTTGTACTACTACTGGGTGTCTCCGTTCGCTTGAGTCATTGGTATTACATGATATGACAGAGCTTCAAGAATGGAATGGAATGGAAGCCAATATCATGCCATTGCTTCGTGAGCTTAAGATTGTGAATTGTCCGAAGCTGAAGAGTCTGCCTTCTTTTCTGTACCAGTTTACTTCACTTGTTGATTTACAGATTGAAGAGTGCATATCTCTGAGCTTGATACCAAAGCTGCCATCATCATTAGAGGCATTGAACATTGGAAATTGCAATATGCTGATAGATAAATGTCAAGATGGAGGTGAACATTGGTCAAACATAAAACATATTCCGGATGTTTTTGTTGATGGTATAAAAATGCCTACAACACCTGCTGAACACATCTCTTCTCGAAATGCAGAAAATCATAACACGTCTCTCCAGGTATGTTGGATCAAAATGATCATGATTTTGTTAGTGATTGTGCAACGATTTTTCTTAAAGAAATTGTGTGGTTGGTTTGGATCATATTGTGTTAAGTTCATATGATAATTGTTAACATCACCGTTTAGCACAAGCAATGACTCAATGAATTGTATATTGTCAGGAAATACATGTTTATCTCTGAGATAAACAATTTATCACATAGCATTGATGATGACTAAGTGATTGATTAATTTATCACAAAATTCACAATGTCATGTAATAAACATATTTGTTTATCACAGTGATAAACTTGGGCCTCCTCGTATGTTGTTCTTACTGTTTTAATCTAGAATTATTCCTATGTCTCTGGTTTTAGATGGATTATTTTGAAAATACTTCAGTTATATCAGAGCCGTTGAATGTAAGCTAAAATTCAGCTGTGATTACTGCTTTACTCTAAAAATAAAAACCCAATTCTTTTCTCATAGCTTTAGCCTAAAAAATCTAGCCTTATATCCTTGACTTTCTCTAATTTTAGAGATTGAAGGTTTTTTTAAAAAAATATCATATTTTCTTCTTGAATCCTTTGTTTTTGCACCCATCAGATGCTGCTTCCTCTTTATATATTGATAAGTTTCAAGGAGCTTCATTCCAGATTATGAAAATCAATCGATCTGTTATAAAAAGAAAGCTCGGATTTTTTACTAGAGCCTTTGTTAAAAACACGAACTTTGTGATATTAGCAATGGTTGTTGCCTAAGATATGTCACAATATTTTAACTTCCATTAAGAAGTCCATATTACATTTGTAAACCATGTATGTAAACAACTTCAGGTTTGCCTTGAAAATTGGCTTTAGAAATTACAAAGTCAATAAGAATCAATATGAAGCCAACCTTAATTGTGAATGATGAATACTGCACTGCACTCACTATAATATGGGAAATAATTTATGATGAGTTTCATGCTTATTTCTAGGAAAAAGAGTGATATAATGATATATGCAAGTAAACCTTTTTGTATAGGTACCGAAAGATGAATATACTCTGTAGTAGACTAGTAGTAGTTATGAATCTTAAAGTGTGGTTGAAAGTCCATTTTTGTTGGAAGTATTATGCATTTTGTTTAGCTTTGCACTTGAAATGGACAATTAAACTGATCTCTTAAACCAAAATGTTCCCAGGGTTTCCAATATGTCATTCAAGGTGTTGTTTCAGCATTTGGATGGCTGAAGCATTGAATCAATACAAGGTAAACCATGTACGCTTTGTTTACCTCACCTTCATTTAAAAAAAATACTACGAGGTGTTTCTCAAAGGGAAATCTGTGTTTCTCACTGTGAGAAACATAATTGTTTCTCACAATGGCATTTCTGTAAATAAATAGATGTTTTACACTTACAGAAATGTCGGTAATGCCCCCATAAAAATGACTTATATGAGGTGAAATGTCGGTAGTGTCCCCATGAGAAACATAAGCTGTTCCTCTTTATTCCTGGGTTTCCATTACATATTGAAGCATTGCATCAATAAATTGGATTATATCAAAGTCGGCGCAGTAGAGAAACTGATCATCAGCATCATGGAGTCCACATTACCTGATAATGTCTATCAACGACAGATTTGATGCAGCTTTCCATGGCCGAGTAACTCTCTTCTTGCCCAATTTTCGACATCTACTTACTCTGGGTCTAAGACGACACCATTTACTGATTTAGTTTACTCTACTTTGGTTTCTTTGGAGATTTGTCATGTAAGTGTGCAAATATTTAATTGTCAATAAGACGTATAACTCATATTCCCTCTTTTCCGAAACAATGACTACATTTTTTAGTTGTTTCAAAATAATTCCTTGCTGTGCTCATCATTTTTATATAATTCTATCACTTTTTTTTTTTTTTTTTTTTTTTTTTTTTTTTTTGACGACATTCTCAAATTTTTTTGTACAACAATTTGATTCAAGACTTAGGAGTTAGGATTTTGTATGGCCATGAGTCGAGTACTCTCTCTATCTCAAACTATATCGTCACATAAATAGGTTAACTTACTCCTATATAGATATATACTAGTACATTACATGACAACTAAATGCAAGTATGCAACAGATACTACATTAATGATATGCATATATACTCGAGTAAAGTTGACATTTACGCTATAATAAAGACTAATAATACGAAGTATGCATAGGTTTTTCCTAGGACCTAGGTTAACAAATAGACCAAAAAGCAAAATGTTACATGATATGGGCACTTCAACTACAAGGTGTGTACAACTTCTGCTTCTGCTTCTGAAACAAGGATAATAGCTCTTCATTCAACTTTTCGTAGTTGGCAACACAATTTCCTTCCAACTGTTAAATAGACGAATAAACAGCATAATCAAAACATTGATCTTTAATTATCCTATAAAAGAAAAAAAAAAAAAAAAAAAAAAAAAAAAAAAAAAAAAAGGGAAATTGAATACTCCTTAATTACGTCCTGCTTTGACAACATAATATTCTCTTAATGAAGCCATGACCACTACTTAGCACCTAATTTTATTCTCTAATTATTAAATAACTTAATTATTACCTGATCATCATAATTTGCCTTACCATCCACTCAATAAGCTTCAATAACTGCATCAAGTGTAGTAGGATTTTTAGTTGGGTAAACTAGGTTGTAATCACTGTATTTTGGAGCATGGCTTGAGCTTTGAATTGAGTTATAAATTGGGTTATGGTGTGGGCTAGCAAATTCACAATATGTTTTAGAAGAAATAACGTTGTACTTTTGGTGAAGATGATACACTGGTAATCTTTTATTTGAATATGAATCATCATGAACTTTGGGCCTTTTACAATGTGAAATTTGGCTTTTGGGCTTGGACGCCTACATGAGATATGAGTCTCATAACTTGGAGTAAGAGAAGGAGAAGGATAATTCTTATGCCTTTCAAAAGGTGGTATGGATTCCTCAATGAAGGAAACAAACTCCTTGTGAAGTCTTGGATAACAAAAGGTAGTAGGAATTTCAAGTAATGAAGTTGGTCAATTCTTTCAAGGTTTGGTTCTCCCCAACTGTGGTGGTTTTATAGCTCTTCTTCTAGGTTCAAAGTCACGTTCAATGTAGTACAGGTCACTTTTGAATTGAGTCAAGGTTGCTAGCCACTTTCCCTCATGATGGTGCTTCTCATTCTCAAAGAAGGTTTTACATTTTAAATTTTGGTGAATAGGCTAGAGATAATAGAAATAGCCATGATGATTGAGTAAACACTTCAATTCAAGGTCAAACTTCTCGTAAAGAGACTAAATAAAGGTAGTTATTCTAGTCACAAAATCATTAATACGCACTAATCCCTTCACCTTTCAAGCAATAAATATTAAAGATCAACATCTACATAAATAAATTACTTTAATAAAAACATGAATACTATTCGACATGAGCAATTCAAATCGAAACTTAATGAATTCCATTTTCATGAAGCAATACGTATAAATCAACAAATATAACTTAAGATGACTCAACTATGAGCATCAAAATACCAAAATTTCGGACCTCCCATCACCTTTCAAATAATACAAATCAAATAATTCTTCCTCAAATCATCAATCGATCATTTTTATCTTGTTTACACATATAAATTTATCAATTTAATGCTATTTTACATAAGCAACTCAACTCATAAATTCCATTTGAATAAAGCAATACATCATAACTCAATAATAAACCAAGTATAACTCCAGATCACCCAACCATGGGTAATAACTCATAAATTTCGGACCTATAGACCTCAAATCAAGGTGTTACAACATCAACTTAATGCACAAGCAATCACACCGACTCAAACTTTGAAATAATTTCAATTATTTTTGTTTTCGAAAATAATAATAATAATGTACTTGAATCATGATACTAGACGGTCGAGCACGCGTCTCCCAGGTAAGTTACCTACAGCGTTGAGGCGAGCCTTACCTAGACAAAGAGTCGTACACGAGAATCCTTTTCACAATCATCTTTCCAAATAAGAAAATAGTTTTATTTTAAAAAACAAAATAATGCTTTTGACCTTCACACACAAATGCAAAACTCTATCCTATATGCCCTTTTAATGTTTACCCACAATTTTATTTTTTCAATTTTGATCTTTTTAAGACCCGGTAAACTGACACCACTTTGTAACACCCCTAAACTTCCCTCTACAGAAATACTAGTATAATATGTATAATTATACTGTAGAGATAGACTTAGGTGTATTACCGCCGCGTGATTTCGCAAGGCTACTAAAAAATACTTAACTCAATAACAAAACTTACAGCAGAAAACTCAACTATACTTTATATTAATACTTGTAAAAATAGTAACATTGTTATGAGTACTCAAAATAAAGATAAAACCAACATTCCAAAAATCAACGAGTTGATCATATCCTTCTATGCTCATTCATGACTCCACCTGAAAATAGTTAACACTGCTTACTGTTAAGGTTAGGTAAACAGGGTTTTGGGGGTGATTTGACACCATTTGGCAGAAATTGCAGACTGCTTACTCCAGCAGAAATTGCAGCAGATTTGACACCATTTGGCAGACTTGCCAATTTCAGATTATTGATGAACAAATACCGGAGGCTTTCAAGGCCTGGAAGGCCCTCTCCCTTCTCCAAATCTAGCTCTTCACAATTCTGTATATGTAACTTTTGAAGGCCGACAAGCAACTTCATATTGTTCGGAAGACTTGTCAATTTTGGACAGTCATTGATGCACAAGGTTCGGAGGGAAGTAAGGTTCCCAACATCTTCCCACATTGATATCATACTTTTACATGAATCAAAACTCAGGAATTGTAGAGAGTTCAATTCAGAGAAATTGGAGTCAACTAAGCTCTCCTGACATGTTGTCACCCTGAATTTCTTTAAGCTTAGCAATTGATGTATATCCTTCGGCAGCTCTTTTAATTTTTTCACATCCATTAATACAAAATGTTTCCAAATTCAATAGATTGCATATTGTATCTGGAAGACATCTAATGATGGGATTATTGGACACATCAAGATACCTTAAATGCTTCAATTTCCCAATGGACCTTCGCAACTCGTCAAACCATAGATTCCCAAATTCTAAAATGCGCAAATAGCCGAACTTGGATATAATAGATTCAAGAAAGGAATGAGGGAGCCCCAATTCCTCATTATGAGAAACACTTTTGTTTCTTATAATGGCATTTTGGAAAATAATGTGATGTTTTTCACCAGTGGGGACCACGTATGTGTCATGAGTGGGAGCCCCATATCTTGACACATACCCCATGAGAAACAAAACTTGTTTCTCACAATGAGAAACAGAGAATTACCTGAAAGGAATGGCTTACATGTTGATTCATTTCAAGATTGAATCGTAACGTTCGGGCTTTTATGGCTTCAAGGGGCTCTTTCTGAGATTTTATATCTTCAAAGTTATGACCACTCTTTACTTTCCAAACTATATGCCTCGCTGACTCTCCAATTATCCCGTAATTCACACTATCCGAAATTACGTTGATAGCTAATGCTTCCCCCATACTATGGCGGACAGCTAGATCAAGCAAAAGATCATGCATTTCACACTTGAGATAAATTCCATCGAAGTGAATACTCGGTTTTTCAATAAGGGACTTAGATGCTAGTTCGATAAAGTTAGAGTATCCCAACCCTTCAATATCCTTGTGTTTGTCTTCTGTTGGCAATAAACCAAGTGCACTCCAGATGTATGGTACATGATCCGTAGAAAGATCCGTATCCTTCATAAGTGACATAGAAGCAAAACATGGTTTTAAGTGAGACGAAAGTTCACAGTAACTCAATTTGAAGACTGCCATTGATCCAAAAACATCCATTTCACTGATTTGTAGCCATTTATGCGCATCTCTCTGACTCTTTAACAAAATCGCTAGAACTTTAATCACAAGAGGGATGCTGCCACATTTCTCAATAATGGACTTGCCTATCTCACAAAGAATCGGATACATGTCTTCTTCACCTTCCTTGAATGCAAATTGTTTGAAAATTGACCAGCAAACATCATTTGGAAGACTGTCCATATGATATGACTCAATTGTCCCACTAATAGAAGCCACCTTGTTGCTTCTTGTAGTGATCAAGATTACGCCCTGAGCTACCAACAGCCAGCACTTCCTTTAGCTATAACCACATTCCTTGATCGTCTTCCCAAACATCATCCAACACAAGCAAGTACTTGTTCCCATATAACAGATGATGGAGCTTTTCCACCAACATACTCATATCTTCGTTGGGTGTACCATCTTTCAAAATGTCCTTTATGATCTTGGATATTTGAAACTTGTGTGGGACTTTTAACCAGAACTTTAAATCAAAGTGTTGGACATCTTAATACACTAATAACTTAGCTAATGCAGTTTTTCCAATCCCACTAATCCCAATTATAGAAAACACGAAAAGCTCAGTAACATCATTGACAGCTATGAATCTTTCTATAATATAATCCTTAGCCTTATCTCTACCAATAACATCGGGTACATGGACATATGAACTAGCTTAGTATCAAAAGGATCTCTGTTGTCAACAATATTGTACTCAGCCAGACGCTTAGTAAAAAAAACACGAACCCTATTGTTGTGCGACTGATAGGCTTATCGCGTACCTAACAAAAATAACCTAACTATTCCTTCTAACTGTGTAGTAGGGCAAGTAAGGATCGAATCCCAAGAGACTATGGTTCATTCAATTAATCAGACTCAATTAATCACTAAGCACGTGACCAATCAATAATGGATGATAATAATCAACTAATTTATTAAATAACACAATTAACTAGAGGAAATATTAATCAATAAACTAAAGCATCCAAGATCAAGCATCACCACGATTATGATTGATAAACTAATAAATCTACCCCCAATATATAAATCAATTGACAAGAAGAAAAGCAATCCCTAATAATAATACCAAAGGTCTCTTCCGAGTTATCAATGGCTTCCCAAATTAACTATCAAGCCTACTTCCGTGGAATCAAGCGAATAAGGGACATTAAACACCATGCCTAGATTCCTAATTATTCAATCATCTACTTCCGTGATGATCTTCAAACCCTTAATTGAAATAACCTAATCCCGTTAATACCCAACTTCCGTTGCAATAAGAACAAAGGGATGATAACAATACTAATTATCCCTAATCTAGTATTGGCATAAACACAATCAATTAAGCATGTCAATTGGGATTATTATTGGGGAATTTAAAGATCTACTTTATACATCAATCATAATCGGGCTTAGCAAGATCCCG